GTGTTGTCGTATTCCAATTTTGATTGATATTGCCCTCGTCTTCCTGATTAAATGACTATAAAAAGGGGCTTTTCGCCTAACCCCTGATTATCGAAACTATCGTCTCTCGTAGACACCCAGCACGGACCTTTGGGTCGTCTCTCGCTGTGGAACTCCAAAACACGCACTAGAGGAGTGTCATACTTCCCGAAGCTTTATCACATGTATATACAGGAGACCTTCGGGAATGTCACGCATGTAGCTGACAAGGTTCAAGCATAGAAGCTTGGGACAGATAGGGTACGAGTCCTGCCATGAGCTTCGGGCTAAGGTTGCCCAGAAGGACGAGTAAATTCCCTACCATTCAAAAAGTCATAGTTGTGTGGACCAAACCCACATACTTCCTACCGAGCTACAAGAGCTGTCGGGTCAAACCTGTCGAACTACTCAACAAAGAAATTGAAGAACCAAGTTTCTCACCCTGAAAAGCTCTCATCTTATTTTTCAAATTAGAAAGACAAATTGCTCACGATTCCATCGATTTCAGAGGCCCAGACAACATCTCTAATAGAAACCTTTACTATCTACCTCGCATTGACGAATAGGCCGGCCAACCTCAAGAACGAGGTACCCTTCAGGAATTGGACCTGAGATCTGAATATCACCAGTCACGAGTATTGAAGAAGGATATCTGAGAACGATCCTCCAATTTCGATAAGAACGCTGAAAGTTCGTTGTGATAACCCTCGGATAGGACCAGATCCACTCGTTGGATTCATGAACGTAATAAATAGGATATACCCTTCTTGCTAGGATCAACTCATCATCATCATTACAAATGACTTACTTATCTACCCTCGTAGTAAGAAGGAAACCAAGGAGAGCAGCTACAACAAACCACAGAAGAAATACGATAAGAGAAGTATTACCCGAAGTTCTCCAGATACGAGTTTAGGAATTGAGGAGTTCAATTCTCAAGACACATCGTTACCCAGGGTGGAAATTCATAAGGAACCTTTCAATTGATCAAAACCATTGAGAAACAGTCAGCACCGAAGGTGTTAGCAGAAATACGCCAAGATTCTGGGTCTTGCTGACCTACTGTCTTAGTTCCTTTGGAACTTCTCGAAAAATACGAAACCCCTCCCAACTTTGACCCAAAAGGGAGCAACCCTTGACAGGAAGAGAAGCAAGAGGAAGAAACCTTTAGAACGCCGGTATAACTGATCAAATTCCTCTAGAGACACTCACTCTGGGAAGGCTTAGTACGCTTCGGAAAGCATGGAAAGCCAACACCCCGAATAATTGTGTCTTTCGAGATTCTTGTCAGAATCAGCCCTGTAACTCGCTCCTTCAATCTACTCCCGCGAGTTTGGTAAAGTACACTCTACCCAACACGTCCCAAATTTACAAGAAGTACCTATCCGACGAGACTCTTGCAATTCCCCTCGACGAGATCGAGTTCCACAAGAGCCTCACCTTCTTAGAAGAACCATGGTGACCATGGATCGAGTTCAAGCGGATGAAACAACGCCACTTCCCATTAGTGAAAGTTCGCTGGAATATTAACCACGGACCTAGAGTCACATGGGAGCGCATGAGTCAGTCGATTAGGAAGTATCCTCACTTCTCGGCTTGATTATTCATGCCTACCCCCTTGCCTAACTTCAAATTTCGGGACGAAATTCCCTTTAACGGGGGGATGATGTGACAACCGTCAAATTCTGGTCAATTCAAAGTCAAATAAAGTCAACGAGTCAAACCGGTCAGCTCAACTAACCTTGTGTATTAGGGTTAGTGTTATGTTCGTATTGTATAACTTGCTATGTTAATGGGAAAACATCACAGGAGAAAAGTTTGTGTTAAAAATTTCCTAAGCCTTCGTACTAATCAAGAACTAAACTGTGTTCGCATTTGGAATGAAAAATTTTGTGAATCGCATTTGATTAATTAGGTTAAAATGCGAAGGTGATTAATGCGAAGTTGGATTTAGCTTTGCTATAAGTTTCAATCGATTTTGAAATTGAGTATTGTTCGCATTTGTATGAGTGTAGTCGATGAATCGATAAAGCAAGAACATATGAGTTTTTGATTCGCAATTGGATTGATGATTGAGGGATGATTCGTGAAGAAAAACGCGAAGTCAAGGACTATGAAATTGTTGTTTGCAAGAATTTAAAAACTCGATTGTGGAGTTGTTGATGCTCATTTTGCGAAAGTAAAACAATCGAGTGTTCGCATCTATGAATCAATTTGAAGTCAATTGGGTTAATATTCGCATATGGGTTCAACATATGAATTTTTGATTTCGCAAGTTTAGAGTTCAAGAACTAAACTGTGTTCGCATCTGGAATGAAAAATTTTGTGAATCGCATTTGATTAATTAGGTTAAAATGCGAAGGTGATTAATGCGAAGTTGGATTTAGCTTTGCTATAAGTTTCAATCGATTTTGAAATTGAGTATTGTTCGCATTTGTATGAGTGTAGTCGATGAATCGATAAAGCAAGAACATATGAGTTTTTGATTCGCAATTGGATTGATGATTGAGGGATGATTCGTGAAGAAAAACGCGAAGTCAAGGACTATGAAATTGTTGTTTGCAAGAATTTAAAAACTCGATTGTGGAGTTGTTGATGCTCATTTTGCGAAAGTAAAACAATCGAGTGTTCGCATCTATGAATCAATTTGAAGTCAATTGGGTTAATATTCGCATATGGGTTCAACATATGAATTTTTGATTTCGCAAGTTTAGAGTTCAAGAACTAAACTGTGTTCGCATCTGGAATGAAAAATTTTGTGAACCACATTTGATTAATTAGGTTAAAATGCGAAGGTGATTAATGCGAAGGGATGCGAAGGGTGTAAGAATGAAGATGCGAAGTATTTCACAGTAGAATGCGAATTGGGGAAGAAAACAGAAGATTTCAAATATTGTCCCTGGAGTTTCGCATTTTTGGAAATAAATACTCAACTTCGCAAATGGGGGTCATAAAATGATGAAATTGCAGAATTTTTAAAGAGATACACACACATAGACAACCACACATATATTTAGAAAATTAAACTAAAAGATGATAAATTACAGATTATAGCATTGTTCTTTGAGAATAAATTACTAAAAATGGGATATAGACAATTATAAGACATTGTTCTTGACTTTTGAGTCCAAAGACGTATGATCCGAACTTTAATTGTGAAATCGTCCTTGATTGAGTCAATTTCCTTTATAGGAGTAATATATTCCATTGTGCCTTGCAAGTTAAAAAAAAAAAAAAAAAAAAAAAAAAAAAAAAAAAAAATCAAAGTCACAAGCAACCACCCCACACCCACTCTATGACCAGCCATACCTCCCCACCTTACCTATGTCACTTCAATGTTCCCTTACACTCAAATTTCACTCACTCCCACGTTTTTGAGCTGGAACAATCAACCACACTCCTCATTTTCTCTCATTTCTCTCATTCCACTAAGTAACAAACATCACTTTTTCTCTCAAACTCTTCTACACAAATTTTCGAGATCCAAGGCTGGATTCAAGTGTTCTTCCACACTTAGTAAGTAAAAATTCATCCTCCCTATTATTATTTCACTTCATTCTACTCAAATCTTTGGTTGCTTACACAAACTCCCTAACTATGATGTTAGATTCTCGAAAACCTTCAAGGCATCTCCAAGTGTTCTTGAATTAAACACTTCCATTCTTCAACAATCATCTACTGAAATCACTCAAGGTGAGTTCATACCCCTACATTTTCATGTTTCTCAAGTTTTCAGGGGGGAATACAAGTTAAAACACTAAGAACATAAAATTTTCTAACAGCCTTCATCAGAAAAGTTCAACTCCATTCACGGACTGTTTTGGGCATCTTAAACATTTTTGTTTTCAAAACTGTACAAGGTGCAAATAGTTTAAGTTTTTAGCTTTAAAATGACTACTTGCACATCTCCATACGATTTTTCTACAATTTATGGTAATTTTTACAAAACTGCCTATCATTTCAAACAACAATCCGGACCAGTCTGTGATTATGGACTTTTTCACCCAAGTTAGAGGTCATTATAAATTGTGATAAAAATTATGAGCAAACTAGACACATTTTGTGAACTCTCAGAATTTACGGATCTAGTTTTCGACTTTGTATGATTTTTCTAGGATTTTTCCAAAACAGGGCAGAATTGCTAAATTTTACCAACAGCATGTAAATATCATAACACTTTGTATTATGTTGAGCAAAGTGTATAATCATAAGTTTTAATATTTGAATGTGTTTCCTAGTTAGTTTATCATTATGAACTGAAACTAAGACATTCATATTAAATATTATTCATTCATTTTGGAACACGTATTATTTAACTATAAGAAGTATAGTTTGAATATATTTATAACACTAATACATTTCCATAAAAGGGTTCATACATATTACATACATTTTAGATAAACTATAATAGGTATAGTTTATGTTACATCACTCTACGCACTCGTACAAGAAGGGTACATTCATACAAGAAATATTTATATTCACACACATTTCACGTAAACTTGTTATCCTATATCGTGAGTTTCTCTATTTTTCTTTCTCTCTCTCTCTCTCCCGTACGTCCGAGTGCGGGATATAATTCCTGGTAGTTATAATCAAATCTCCTTGAGGGAGAACGTGATACTTGTATATAGATCTATATTGGGATTGACACCCCACACCTTGCTGCTAGCTACAGTTGGACCTGCAGGTCTACGGGTGACAAATGTCATTTTATTTTTCGCGACACTGAGAACGTCGTGGCAGGTTCACATAGTCATAGTATGATTATAGCGACTCACATAGGGATATAACAATCCATAAGTTTGCGGGATTTTATTTTTAAAACCTAAATGAGTTTTATGTCGATTTAAAATCACCTTTTTATCTCTATGAGTACAGATATTACTGTACACTTTTGGTTTTG